TGATGCCGCATTATCAAAGTGCCGATGGTTAAAACATAACTATGCATGCACTCAGTTTGATTTTAATAATTTTTTTATTCGCTATGTTTATGGTATTAGTCGTAATGCGCATAGGTCCAGTTTTTCATATTCTTTGATACAGTTTTTTGCGTCTCATAGAATTCCTAAGCGTACCTACCTATACACCGAACTGTTACACCTAACTACTCAGTGAAATAGCGCTAAGTCCTAGCTGCAAGACGCAAGAGTCTTGCAGGCTATGTCTTGTTCTTGCTCAAGTCTTGCACGGTCAGTCTTGGTCTTGGTCTTGCTAAAAATACGCGGTCTTGTTCTTGGTCTTGGTCTAGCAAAAACGCAAGAACAAGACCAAGACTGCAAGACCAAGACTGAATTTGGGCAACACTAGCTCTAATATGTCTCTGACTATACCTTGATGCCTGAGGTGTCCTAGCAACTTATTTCGCCTATTTCTTATTGACTTCCATAAAATCCTCTGTTCTCCTATTCTTTCTAATTCCTATTTATTTCTAACCTCTATCCACGGTATCCTCATCATTCGCCTGTAACATCACATTTCAAACGCTTTTAACCTTTTCTATTCCGCCGCGCCCACCGTCCATGTTTCGCACCCGTACAACGCCGTGCTCCAAACATACAACCGTTTTCCAATTTCTAAATTAACCGTTCGCGAGCATAGAAGTGACTTCTTTTTATTGAAGGCGACACGACCCTGTGCTATCCTCTGCTTTATATCACTACTACTCCTTCCGTCCTGACTTAGATACCTAAAATCAGCCACTTCTTCTAATTTTTCGTCTCCTATCTTTATATTCGCCATTTCCTACTTTTTCTTCCCTTGCATACCGGTATTTTTGTTTTACTTTTATTTATTTTCATGCAGTACTGTTTTGTCAATACCGCTTCCATTTTATTTAAAGCTTTCTCCAACTCCTCCTTGCTACATGCCAATACTGGTGTATCATCTGCAAATCCAAGCAAATTATCTTTTTCCTCTGTAAATCTATCTAATAAAAATACAACAAAAGTAAATTATACGCGTAAGGTACGAAACAAGAAGATACGAAATCAGAACAAACCACAAGATGCAATGTCTGTCTGTGCGGATGAAATATTGAAATCTGTTAATACGAAGGATTTTCAATGTTTACAATTGCCGATCTAAAAGTCAAATCCATTAAATCGTGTCATAGATTATTTGAAATTTCACATTTTCCCATCTCTTTTTGTGGTTAAAATTATAGCCCACTAAACGATTCTTATTTGGTCTAAATTACACGATATTAAGGGGTTGTGTATGTTATCCACGCGCTGTGCGTCAATCAACCCCCCCGAAAGCCACTTAACCTCTTGGCATTTCATATGAGCTCCTCTTTATTGTCGCGTACATCATTTTATTAGGCGCCTCCGAACTTTATTGCGCCATATATGACATGGATGTTCCAAAAGTTAACGCATCCTCGACAGCCTACACACTAACGTACAAACAGTGTCAAACCACATACACGCACAAACACACTTGCGTGTGCACACATGTGCATTTTTGCGTGAAAAACATTGTCAGTATGTATATACAGCCGATTAGGTGAATACAGTGTGTTTTAAGTTAGAACCCGCATGAATTAGGCTGAATTTAAAGACGTAAAAAATATAGGCGTTTCCATATAGGTTACATCAGATGGTTCTAGTTCTACTTGCCCGTTATCCGTTATTTTTTATTTAATTTCATTATCTTTTTCTTTCATTAATTTCAAATTGGTCATACAACTCAATTTCAGTTTCTGTAAAAGAACTTTTGCAATATTTGCCAAATTTCCCCTTTGAAAAAGACCCTAATTTCTGAAATTTATCCAATTTCATAAATATTTATTACTATATACAGATTAAATTGACTTTACAATCCTATATGTAGGTATGCATTTATAAGCACAAACCTCTTCTTTTTAAGTGTCCAATAACCCGAGATAAAAATATTCAGTCTATCAGAGTCTCTAAAAACGAGACTAGAGTCTTCGTCTCTCATCGAGTCTCTCTGATGTCGCGTCGAGAGACTGTCAAAAAAACTGTTTAGCGTCTCTGAACGAGAGACTCGAATTTTTGAACGAGAGAGTCGAATCTCTGAACGAGAGACTCGAATCTCTCAATAAGTGGTGTCTCGATAGACATGGTTAAAATTTTCAACATATTTCAGAGATCCCAGTGTTTCTAAGAGAGACTCGAGTCTCTCAATTTTTCGGTTTTATTCATTCAGTCTCTCTGTGAGAGACTCGAATCTCTGAATTAACAATTTTATCGTTCGAGTCTCTCATACAGAGACTGTGAGAGATCCATAAAAACACCTAGGTAGTAACTGAGAGATTGTGAAAGACTGCGAGAGACGCTGAAAGACTCTGACAGACTGGAGAGAGACTGAAAATTTTTGTCTAGGGAATGACCTATTAATTTAGTTTTGGAAGTTATTTAACTATTAAAAAGAAAGTATTACCGTGTTTAAAATAAAATTATGTAATTTGATGGCCTACTTACGTGAATCTAATTGTAAACTGTTCTTTTATTTGTTTCAGAATGGAGGAGCTAAAGATGGATTGGATATGAATTTGAAGCCCGCATGGGACAAAGGTTATACGGGGAGGGGGGTTGTGGTATCTATTTTGGACGACGGGATTCAAACAAATCATCCAGATTTAGCTCAAAATTATGTGAGTTGATTATTAGATAATTTCTATTTTATGTGAAATAAATAATAGGAAGTGAATTAGACAAGGATATACTTACATTTTCGCCGCTCCTTATTAATCTGTGTATCAAAAATGAGATTAATATTATCTGTTAAAGACAGAGCAGTGTTAGCAGTTAACATACATACAAAGACAAAAGATTAGCATCCTTACATTTGCAGATGATTTATTGGTCTTGCATATTCGGTTGTCGTTAGTGTTTTGTCTTTTTCATTCGGTCTTGATCTTGGTTTTGGTCTTGGACTTGCTACAATAAAGACAGTCTTGGTGTTGGTCTTACATTTTCACAAGACCAAGACTGCAAAACCACGATCAATTTTGCTCATCAATAAAAGCTAGGATTAAAACGTATATAAATATAGGAGACCACAAACTAGAAGAAGTTGCTAATTTTTGATATTTTATTAAAATGTGACATACTTATCATAACAAGCAACAATATTAAGCAAGGTGAACAATATTGTTTTGATATTTGACTATTGGATATTGAGTTGCCAGGAAAATATATTATTATTTATGAGGATTCGTTTTTAAGCACGTGGCGTATCGTAAGATTCTGCCACTATCCGATATATATGTTGCTTTTCCTGGATTGGATTATTTTACCATATTTTCCTTTTCACAAAAATACAAGTTGAAACTAAATTTAGAAATTCAATCTGTTTTTCCTGATACAGTAACATGTTTGTCAATTTAATAAATAAGGATTATATCGAAATCCATACATATGTACATATATATATATATANATATATATATATATATATATTATATCGTACATATCTGCAATATTCGCATACGTTTTCTATCATCGTGTATATTTCAATACTGTACGGGAATCTCATGATTTATTTCACACCACAAAAACCCTAATGTATATATCTATTCCATCGTTACCCTGTTTGATGCCGATGCAGAAGTTGTAAATCATTTCCTGGAAAGTTTATCTTACCTATATCCCGACCTACTCTGTCGCAGTTCATGAATATCGACGTGGACGTCTTTGTATCATTGCTAATGCAGTATATTTTTCATATCTGTGTATACATTTATTTTATATTGTATACATACTTATCTTATACAGAAAAGGTGAGCAAATACAAGAATGATACTGTGAAATTGCATTCTACGTCGAAATTTTTTAATATTTAAGTATTCAAATATTTATTTATATTTGAATAGTGATAGATATTTAACTATTCGAACAATCAAATATTTGAATCCTTTGCACTATCTTCCACAGTGATGTAGTAATATTTTTTTCAATTAGCAGCAATTAGATAGGCGTGAAATGTTCTTATTAATTATGTAATCTTAACCGACGTTTCGTCTTTCAATCTAAAGTTTTATCGATGTAGATTAGGTGATAATTAGTTGTTATTTAATTACACAAATTAAGTTTGATTATTATTCACTTAACGGCGTGTTTCTTTCTGTAGCTTCTCACCCTTTTATATACCTACCTTGTTGTTGATATTTATTTCACTAATTTTTCGACAGTCAGAAAATAAATGACGTTTTCTATCCGCAATCATTCGCCCCATTTCGCCAACAATTAAGAGCAATTATATTAACGTCGAAGTTGGAAATTGTTGGGTCAACTTTCGTATAAAGGTCGAGCGTTACCCGTTTGAGCTAGAAAGGGTCTCGATCTAAGCCAATATTGCCGCATTTTTCGGGATAATCAGAACCGATTAATATGAATATTGCATGAACTTCGACCCGCCATTGGCCTGAAAGGGCTCTCACATTCAACGTATGCGACCCCTAACGTTGGCCGATAATTTTTTTGTTGGGGACAATCGAGTGCTTTCAGTGCCATTTAGGAAGCGGCGGTGTTACTCCCTTAGAATGGATTGCTTCGATTATAGCGGTCGGAAAATTCGGTCTTGATTCTACCCACACATTTACACGTTTGCGTCACTTCGGAAATTACGTCGCTCAACGCATTAATGAATACTGACCGACTACTGAAAGTCAGAATATTTCTCTGATATGATTTATCCGTCTCGAAGGACCAAATACATAAGACGGAAAATATACATTTATGTTTTATTTTTAATAGTTTTTGACTATTTTNTTGCAAAAAAAATGTGTTTTACTATTTTAGGCCGGGGACTTTTCAATTGACCTGTTAGAACATCCCACATCCTTAACTATTTGCGAATAATAATCTAATCTAGGTGTGCCTCTACTCCTCTTAACTCCTGTTTCTGCCTCTAATATATTTCTGACTAGCCCTTCATGCCTGAGAAGGTGTCCTAGCTACCTATCTCGCCTATTTCTCATTGACTTCTATAAAACGCTCTGTTCTCCTATTCTTTCTAATACCTCTTCATTTCTTCCGTCCTGAATCCAAAGTATCCTCGTCATTCGTCTGTAACACCACATTTCGAACGCTTCTACTTTTTCTTTTCCGCCACCCCCACCGTCCATGTTTCGCACCCGTACAATGCCGTGCTCCAAACATACACCTTTAACAGTCTTTTTCGAATTCCTAAATTAATCGTTCGCTAGCATAAAGTGACTTCTTTTTATTAAACGTAACTCGACCCTGCGCTTAGCATATGGTTTGGTCTCGTGACTTCAACATTTACAGACTGCTGTTGATCTTGCAGGTTATGTCTCTATCTTCTACCGGTTTTTCAAGAAAAAAAATTTTTGCCCCTCGATAGAGTGTCTAACTTTGTACCATTTTCTAATTAGAATTTAAACCACTGCTAACGTAAGATGAGTTTGATCAAAAATGGCTAATGTTTCGGTGGTTTTAATGTGACTTTATGGGCTATTTAATTTTTAACTGCTTATTCGTTGGTAGACCACCGCGACACTTGGCACCAAACCACCAAACCGAACTATCCACTTAATTTGCATATAAAGCGAAAAATGTTCGAAACTAACCAACTCGATCCACAAATTAGTCGATCGACTATATGAAAATTTACGCTGCAGTGTTAAATGACGTTTTTCCGCTTATTTCTATTGTTCCACTCTGCACACATGAAACGTTTATTTGCAAAACATTTTATTTTAAATTGCGGTCACCAACAAAATATTGTTGGAATCGTTGGTATATTATATGGATGCTGTTTTTCATTAAAAAAGCATGAAGCTGTTCAAACAGAACGCTTAGTTTATGTACCTATTGTTAAACTGGTGTTGCCCTGCTGCAATTGTCATACATCATAATAGTAGATACGTTAAAGCGAGATCAAAAATGACAAAGTGCAAACGTGTTTTTACGTGGGGTATTCATTAAACATACGGTGAAACTTGAAAGAGCTGTTCCTTGGGATTTTTTGAAAGCGACTTTTCTTCGAAGATATTACTTAATATTACATGTAAAGGTTCTTAATGTACAAAAATTGTTGAAAGTAACTACCATCGATTAAGATGCATGCACCTATCTAATATTCTCCTTATTGGCTACCGAATTATTTAATTCAGAAACAACAGGATTGTTTTTTTACTTAATTACACCCTACACGCATCTTCACTCTTTCCTATCCTTAGCTAATCTTCCTATATCCCTAAAACTAGAACAACCCACATCCTTAACTATTTGCGAACAGTAATCTAATCTAAGTTTATCTCAAACCCTCTTAACTCTCCTTTCTGGCTCTAATTAGTGTTGCCCAAACGCAAGAACAAGACGAGACTTAGCCAGTCTTGGTCTTGGTCTTGCGCCAATACACCTGGTCTTGGTCTTGGTCTTGGTCTTGCGCTCCCAGTCTTGGTCTTGGTCTTGGTCTTGCAGCAAGAGTCTTGCAAGTCTTGCAATTACCTATTAGTCTATTACTATTTATTAAAGTTTACTTTAAATCCTAGAAAAACGTATTAGAATTGGAACATTGTGAGCTTGAATGAATATAGCCATAGTAAAGATCAAGCAGATTAATAAATAACTGAAGATTTGATAAGAAATTCGAAAAATCAACTGACCTATATGTCGTTTTCCATGGAAGTAACTGTTTCTTAATAAACATTTATGATCCTTGCTTTCTACCGCGCCGCCTCGCCACGTGCCGGCTCTATGATAAGGATGCCGCCGCAAATCAAACAATAATATAAAGCGTGTAAAAAAATTCGAAATTATTTTGCATGAGTATACCTACACCCTATGGCGGCAATCAAATAGTGTCAAATGTTATGATTTCGGCGTGGCGGCAACGATTGTTTTAGATTTCAAAAGAAGCCGCCGGCGCGTGTATCATAACCATGTACTTCCGAAAAGCGGCAAATTTCTTTGAGAAGTAAGTACAAAACCTTTGATGCCGCATTATCAAAGTGCCGATGGTTAAAACATAACTATGCATGCACTCAGTTTGATTTTAATAATTTTTTTATTCGCTATGTTTATGGTATTAGTCGTAATGCGCATAGGTCCA